TATGTCACATCGAATGGGAACACTTTGAGTTCACTAATTCAGCCAACTTGTTTCGCGAATCGACACCAAGAATTAACTGGAATTGTTTCGTCTTTGTTGCAGTCGCCGTTCTTCGTGGAAGTTATAAAAAATAACAGATGCAGGGGGGCCAGTTTCTTAATATCCAGAGTAATTAAGTCTGGTCTATTTATATGTTTTTTTTTTTTTTTTCCTTTTTAATTTATTGTCAAATTTTATTTTTATTTGTGTTTCCAAAAACTGATCTCTTTATCCAGTTGCTCTAGATGAATTAATAATAAATGATAGATAAATTAATAATGAATGGAATGAAATAATATTAAATGGGTGAATTAATAATAAATGGAATTAATCACAAAATTTTAAGGCCACAGGGAAGATTAATGAGGTATCTTAAGCTTCGTGTAGTGATAATGCTTACCATGCCGCGTGGATAATGGTATCGTAAAGCAGTGCCACATAATATTTTTTTTCCAATGGCAGATTGTGAACAATTACAGATGTAACTCAGCCCATTATTCTATACAAGGCTGAATGTGGTGGTGGTTTCTTTATTATGGAGGCACCTAATAGGTGGGCCACCATCGCCTTTCCTATGAAGGGACGGATAGTTACAACCATGCCTTTTCCGGGATTCGAACCCAGGCCCTTCGGCATCGCATTCAGCTTCACTGACCACTATACCGACTGGGTGGCATGCCACATAATATAAGCGTCCAAAAGTATGTCGAAAGCATTACAAGCTAAAAAAAGGCAAACATTTTCTAGAAAGTAATGAAGACTGAGAGTCAGCTTTAAAAATGGATATTAAAAAAATTCACTCTTTATATATACACACATATAATGTATAACTTGACAATGCACTGTTTATAATATATATTATACATATATTTGGTGCCGGTCGGTTAAAGTCATGACTTCATCCCCTCTATTACGAGCTCCGAAAGCGATAAATAAGAAGCGCCTTCTGGATATAGATGAGTGATGTGTGTTGAAGTAGAGACGCCTCTTCTGCCAGAGATCATGACGAAATTTATGAATAATTACTTTTTCTTGTAAATGTTAAATGTTCTTAACATCCAGTATTCGTCTTCATTAAAGTGTCTTTCGTTAATCAGTTTGGTTATTATTCCCACATATATGTTTGTATTATATATAGATATAGTAAAAATTAATAAAATACTGGAGTTGGAAGCATGTTTGCGGAAGTCGTTCTCAATTTCTGAGACATTACGTTACGTTACGCTACATACTATTTACCATTTATGAGTGGTAGCAGTGTTATCATTGGACTAGGCGGAAGATCGTTAATGAATCTGTTAACCGATGATCGTTAATGTTCCGGCATGTTGCTATTCAGCTTAACATTATGGTAATTAAGTTTCAACAGAAGTTTAATTTACACATTGTCCCATTTTCTCCTTCATTCATGTTACAAATAATCGCTCAGAGCAACAGCTATGCAAAATAAAAGCATGCGAAAGAGAATTTAAAATCTAGCTATGTTAATTGCCACTCTGGAATGAAAGCCGGAGTGCTGCCTAGAATTTAGCGCCAGTCTGAATTTATGAGGGGCTACAGAGCTTCCCGTCCGAAGGTTGGTAAGTGACTTCATGATGAATCGTGGAGAACAATCACGTGTGATGTTTGCGAGAAAGTGTATTTTAGTTAATGTATTATTCCAAGGCAATTTGTCTAATTTTTAATGTTACTGTTAAGAAGTTAATCGGTATTTTGAGCTGTATGTTCGAGCTTTAATTGTAACTCATCAAGAGTGGATAAATAAAATTTTTTCAATGTTTAAACCTTTTAGTAAAGACGTTAACATGGCGATTTTTATATGGAAACCTGCACATACGTTCGGTAGGCATGCCTTGTAAAAAGAACTCAACAGTAGAGATATAATGTAAGACTTCTGCCTTTTAATTACACTGACTACCAATAAGTATTTGGACACCTATGCAAATGACGATATCTGCGGTCCTAAGGTACGTCACGGACTCCGCCGGTATATATCGTGTAGGAAACAGCATCGGCTTTAGTCGCATGCAAGATGCCTCGCAGTTCGGAGCTCTTTGATTTCGAGAAAGGTATAATTATCGGGTATCACAAATGTGGCCGATCCTTAAGGGACAGATCTAGCGATCTGAAGTACCCAAAACCGACAGTGGCCTATGTGATTAAGAAGTGGAAGGTGAGCGGTGATTGTCGGAATGTGCCCCAAGTCGGCAGACCAACGACACTGGAAGATAGAGACCGACGAGTGCTGTCCAGAGAAATTCGAAGAACCGCACCCAACCGATGGCCCTCATCCGCGAGGAGTTTCAACAGGCATCCGAGAGTATTGTTTCAATGAATACCATCCGTAAGGAAGCACATCTGCTTGGTTTTCATGGTCGTGCTGCTGCCCATAAGCCTTTGATCACAAAGTCCAACCGCGCTGCTCGGATAATGTGGTGCAAAGCACATCGAAATTGGACCGTAAATCAGTGGAAACGGGTTCTTTGGAGTGACGAATCAAGGTTCACCCTTTACCGTTCGGATGGCAGGGTCTGGGTCTGGCGTCTACCTGGAGAACGTCTCCTGCCAGAATGCATTGTGCCAACAGTTAAGTTCGGCGGAGGTGGAATTATGGTCTGGGGGTGTTTCTCCTGGTATGGGCTGGAACCCTTGGTCCCCATTCATGGTAAGCTCAACTCCGATGCCTACTGCACTATTTTGGATGACAATGTGCTTCCTACATTGTGGCAGTTTTACGGGTTGGACCCCTGTTACTTTCAGGACGACAATGCCAGTTGTCATGTTTCGACGTTAACCAAGGTTTGGTATGGTGCCAATGGAGTTCATCAAATGGACTGGCCTACCCAGAGTCCAGACCTGAACCCTATGGAGAATCTCTGGGACGAGTTACATCTCCGAATTCAGGGGTGCACTACCCGTGCAAAATCGGTGAAGGAACTTCTATGTCTTCTCCAAGCCGAGTGGAAGAAAATACCACTAGCTGTCATACAAAGACTTGTGGAAAGTATGCCCCGGAGAGTCCACGCTGTAATTCCTCTCGTAGAGGCTCTAGCAACTATTGATTTTGAATAAAGTTAGTTTTTCTTTTCTATCACAGGTGTCCAAATACTTATTGGTAGTCAGTGTATAACTCTATTGTTCAATACTTGAAGGGATTTAAAATCAATAAGTGCATTATTAAGAATTTAAATCTTACAATTTTTTTCGCAACTTCCTTAATTTATGCAATTTAAAATTCTTTTAATTTATAACATAGCCAACTGAAAATTATTACTTCTCTAATTAACAGCATGCAAGGGTTATCAGGTTGCAAAGGCTACAAGTAATTAATAGCATGCAGTGGTTTAAATAATGGAAACATCTAAAAACGAAGGGATGTGTAACTAATATGGTGTAAGAGCAATTCTGGAATCTCAAACTGTTCGAATTCTTTTCTGAATAGTGGTAATAGGTACTTTAAATCATTCTTCTTTGAGATAATGCTCCAGTTTCTCTATAGGTGATGGGAGAGAAAAATAGCATTACTCTGTTTTCGTGCACAGAACATAATGGTTCAATGCTGTTTAAGACTGGTGAAGTTACGGGTAATAGTAACTTCATATTTTAATTCATTACTGAATTTGACTTAAACAGGAGCGTTATCATATTAAAAGATATAGTTACCCGTAAGAAAGAGTATCTCAACTATTGTATGTATCTGGTGCAGATTAAAATACAATTATTTACATAGTCACTGCTATATTTCTTCTTTGTAAGGCGGTAATTGGACCTGCTGCAAACCGTGATATAGTTGTTCAAAGCTTAGCTGAAGCCCCAGCATATTTTACTGTAGGAAGTAGAGAAGCTGGATCTTGAGTTTCTGCTGTTCTCCACAACCATCCTGCGGTGGGAAATGTTGCCTCATGACAGAAAATATATTGTTTCAAACGAACACCAATATATATTCCTGCCATTTATGCATTTGTTTGTGAACAAGAGGTTTTGGGATAGCAGCTCTACCGTATTATTCCTTATTATTCGAATTCTCATTATTCCTTTCGTTCTGATACGTCGAAACCAAGTTCTATAACCCATCTGATGTAAGAACCCTCGTTAACGTGCTTCTGGTTTCACCAAATACCTATAAAAGGCGCCGTTGTGACAGCACGATTTTGCCCAGACCCACCCCAATTTTGACGGAGAAAATCCGGGCGGGGCATGGAGGTAGGAAGTAACTTTCCTACCTCCATGGGGCGGGGGCTAGTTCGAGGGTCTTCCACCCCTCTTCCCCTACCACCAACACACGCGAGAGGACTTTCAGCCAGCCATATATTTAGACTGTCCCCAAGTCAGCATATTTAGACTGTACATTAACAAACATCCATGCCTTTCTGGAATTCATACCCGGAACATTCGGCACGGTAGTCAGAGTCACTAACCACCATCCCTTTTGGGCAGCATGAATAATCCTAGTGAGCTTTACCGTAATTAACCTTTTGATGGTAATGAATAAGTTCAGCTCGCATTCCAGCCGTTGTCAGAGCAAACGAGTCACGTCGTATTACTAATTTACGACAGACAGATTTCGCGTGTATTTGGGAAGAAAGAGTTGCTTGATTTCGCAACAGCCGAAGGGTTAAACAATTCAATCAGCACATAACATCATGTCTAACTCTACGATGAAAATGGAACTATGACTTGAGAAAGGCATATTTATCTTCAAAATAGTAAATTTTTCTAATTTAATTCTTTTAAAAATATTTGAAATAGTTGTTTTAACTTTTACTTATTTGAAATTTGAAACACCAACTTTTTCCTGTTCATTTACTAAACCAACATTCCCTTAACCTTTTTTTAAACAACTAAAAGTTGTTGAGGCGAAGAATTGCTGCAGAGATAGTGGGACTTGAAAAACAAAGCATAAGAGTTTTGGAGTCCATAGAAAACGACAACAGTATGAAGGTTAAATAAAAGAGCAACGATAACATATTGCAACATATTTTATTAACAAAGTGCTCACGGTAAAATTTCATACATATATTTATTCAACAAAGTCGATATTTTAACAATTTTCCATAGCTGAATCTAAAAAAACTACGCTGGTTTCCTAATGTTTGATAAGGAACATATAAGTATTAAATAAACTGACTCAGTTATTCAATCAGTTCAGTTATTCAAGCGAGACATGGTTGGAGGTTCAGTAGCAAATCTAACTTACTTTTATATGGCATGCAGATGAAAATCTTACTGATATAAAAACGCTTAATCTCTAGCTAATTGCTTAAATATACGGTATGTAGATGCAAGTAGAAATAACTTGTCTGAGATACGGTGAAAGTTGCAACCAAGGAAATTTTGTCAGTATTTCAGTATTAATGTTCTGCCATTCTCAAACAACTGTAGCACTCAAAAATTTTTAATAGAAGAGGATATAAATGTGCCCAGTTTTAACCTATATTCACACCTCTGGCTTTTAAATACTTGCAAAGAATACAGAGAATCAAAATTACTTCTGAGTTTTCCAGCTCCTTGCTGTAACGGCACGAATTTTCTGCTAATTCATTTTACTTTGGTGAAACTGGATTTACACGACCATATCCTTTAGCTATGTAAATCTGGCTCTAAAAATGCCCAAGAAAAAATTAACTTAGATAAACAAATTTTAAGACTAAACCTCGCCAGTACTTTAGCTGAAAATTTATACTTATTCGGAACGACGAAAAAACATCCTCATTAACAACATCTAAGAAGCAGTACAGAATTTAGCTAATTCAGTAATGTTACTTTGCATAATTTTATAATGTTAACAACCTATTTATATACATTTTCATTAATTAAAGATAGCAGGCGTAATAAAAAAAGTGTTGGATATTTTAGGAGGTCCGCAGTAAAGTTTGACGATCATTACTTATCATAAGCAAGCATATTTTCAGTGATCTTTCAACTGCACGGAGATGGCGCCTTAAGCTTAGACTGCCTGATGTAATGAGATGAAACTTTACAAGACAGTAGCAAGAACGTGCTTTTGTTTTCCAGAAAGACAGTCATATTTCAGATCTCAATTAAACCTCACAGTAATTGCATTTATGGGTCTGCATTTGCCAGTAATTACCAAATGCAACATGTTCATAGCAACTTTCGAACAGGAGAAACATCCCCCGCGAGCCTTACAGTGCAAATACAAATGCTCATATCTAATTTTATTTAATTATTCTCAACTTCCGTAGTTTAGTTTTCGGTTAATTCCATTCTCTCTGACAAATATCTATCAATTAAAACCACATCACAGATTCTTTTAATCTCACTTTCTTTTTTTCTCCACAGAGCTTCTGCATTTGCATTTCAAAAGTTCCTGAAGAGTGAACCATTTTGTAACTGATGCATAGCATTTGGAAACCAGAGTAAGTTTCAAAGACTGAAAATTAAATGCAAGTGAAGTACTTTAAAATGAGCTCTTATAATTAAGTACGTGTTTTATATATTCATATACGTACGGCTTCATAAATTAAGAAAATTATAATTATCTAAAATATCTCCTAAAAGCTCTATAAATATCTTAAGTGTTGTTACTAAAAACATTTCAATGTATTAGACCGAAAAAATTACTTTATTCAACAAACAAATTAAGTATAGAAAACTAGAATTAATTCCGAAAAGAATAAAAATTTACACCAAATTCTATTGGCTTGTTCTCTTATTTTTACATCTAGTGAAAGGAATGGTTGTATGAAACAGAGCTAGGGCGCATTGTGCTAAAGATAAAGCATCAAAGCTTTCAGAAATATTATTGAATATCTTTCTGTTTGGGGGATTCTTCCTTAAGCAGCCTTCTCCATTTTAATAAGTTCCAAAATTCCATCTTGCATTTCTTTTACGGCCTGGTACTCCGTAAGTCCCATGCGCCTCTTATTCGAAATATCGTAAACACCTCCTTCGCCCTCAGTGTGTTCACCTCGAGTTCCTGAAGGAAATAAAGAAAAAAAAAATATTTTCAAACAGAAGACAGATTAAATAATTAGCATTATCTAAACGCTAAGAAAACAAAGCACTGCACATTTAGAATACTGAACGTCTACGTATTGGCTTCGGAAATTTATTATAAAGTAAAAATAGTATTTGAAGAAAGGTGTTTGAATTTCTCGATGCTGAAAAAAAAAAAAAAAAAAAAAGAGAAATTGTAATTACATAGCATTCCCAAAAAGGATCTGAATCAGAGCGTAATTTCACTCGGCTCTTATCAATTTGGTGGAACTGCCTTAATTTTGGAAGCAGACTGTTAAAATTTTTATTGTAATATTGATTTAAGCAGTAGTGTTGCAGAGAACCCTGAGATTTTGTGAACTAAAATTAAGGATTCCGTGAAAAAAATTTAAAATAAAATTTAACATATTAAAAGAGTTCAAAATATCGCATGTAGTACGAGACTATATTTAAATTAGGTCACTTTTACTATGTAGCATGTGCACTAAACTGCTTTTATAACTATAGCACAGAACTCAAGATTAATATTGACTGTATACGATCATAATTAAGCAACGGATTATACGGTTGTATGCTATAACGCGGGAATTATTTGCAAATACGATTAACTTTAAAAAGATCTTCAATATCTTTAATGCCAAATGAAAATCTAGCTGCAGAAATACTCTCATTCAGCACTTTACAATTCTTACCATTGCCTTGTGTGGACAAATAGCATTTAATGGATATGCAGATACCAAAAACTGTATCTGTATTTTTCATTATTATCTATCAATATTGTAAATTTATTGTATGTAAGTATCATTTAAGTTTCTAACCAGTTATTTTATGTTAAATAGCTATCCTATCAGCCTAGTTTCCATTTCCCCGCCAGAATTTAAATTTCTAGCTCGCGCGATATTCAAATGAGGTAGAAAGTAGAGTATTTAAAGGAAGGTTTTAGATGGTAAAATTAGAGCGTGTAATGCCTGTTTGAAGCCCACATTTCTAACTTTGACTCTCTCGATTAGCATTCTGTGGCGTTGAGTTATTCTTGCCATTTGGCTTGTTTAAGCTAACTTCGGTTAGAGCTAACTTGCGCGTTAGTTATACTATGAAGTCGTTAGGCTACACTTAATCCTCTTTGAGTCTACCTATTATCTTTGATTTAAAGCCAAAGATAATGGCTTCTGTAAGCACGAGTTGGTGTCGGCTGTCAGACTTTTAGTTAAATAAAGAACCTTTTATATCCTTTTCCTGATTCTGTGGTATTTACAAGACATAGCGGCAACTGACCAATTGTCTTGTTCAACTGATCAATTGTTCTGGTCTACGTTTTATGCTACCTAAGAAGACCGCCAGACACTATAACTTGTAGATAAGAATGTTCTTTAATATTCTCTATTCTTCTGTCGAATAAAATTATTTAAATGTTCATTTATTGTTTTACTTATTCGTAATTTAAAAACTGGTTCCTATAAATGTACAAATGCTGGAAGATATTACAGGACAGCTATTATTTTGTGTAATATGTATTCATATATTATACTACTCAAAGTGTCTAAAAGTGAGCCCAATATTTAGAGGTGTCCTTCCACCAGAGAATAACAAATATTTAATATATTCTTCGACTCCCAGTAAAGTATATTCTTTGCATAAATTTGCGTTCATTACCCAGAAGTAAAATTTGATCTGTGCGCAAATAGGATGACCGCAAGTAAGCGGCAAGATCCATTTACATTCGATGCATAACCATCTCAATGTAATCAAGACACAATAACACGCCGAACAAATACAATCCAATTAGCATCTCAATGTAGTTAAACGATATACGGAACTCTGATCTAATTAAGCTAACAGCTCTTTCCCAGTCTGACAAGCGTCATCTTCTGATAGCCCAATTATTGAGATATAAATGACGAGTGCTTTCTTTTGTTTAAATTTCGCTTCAGACAACTGAACTGCGCTGTATTATATACTAATATTTAGAATAAAATAATAACAAAATATTAATATATCTGATTACCAGTATTTTATTCTTTAATATTAGGCCAAAATATGCTTTTTAAAAACATTTCATAGGCCTAATATCGTTCAGTGTGATTTAACATTAAATTTAACGCCAAAGAGTTTAGCATAAAGAAATTTATATTCATTCATTTCCTTATAACTTGCTTAAAGCTTAACAACGTTATTTTCCACAGAAGATTTTGTCTGTACTGAATTTCAGTTAAGATAAGTTAGTTATATTTCCGTTATATTAGTTACGTTTTCAAACGGCGGCCTGCTAAACACGACAATTATAACTCGAAGTCCTCTATACAAATCAGTTTTTGACTAGCGGCGAAATTTTCGTCGAATTCAGTTCTGTGTATATTCTGATTACATAATAGTATGCAGATGGTCGAATTATGCCTTATTACTATTATGAAACCGAAATCGAGCTGCAAAAGAATAGAAAGAATGAATAATAATAATGAAATTATAATGTGCAATCATAATTTTTTATGATAGTCAGTAGTAATTATAAAATATTTTTATACAGTTTTTTGAATGACTATCAACTATTTTTCTTAAACACTATTAAAAATTAATTAATAAAAACTAACAACTATTGGAGAAACATACTATTATTATTATTTAATTTCTACATAAAACTTTTTTTTTCTGTTTATCTGGTCTCTCTCTCTCTCTCTCTCTCTCTCTCTCTCACACACACACACACACACACACACACACACACACACATATATATATATATATATATATATTTCAGACTTTCCGTTAAGTGCTAAAAGGCATCACAGCTAAAGTAAAAGTTTTAAATAAAACTATTACTAATATCTAGACTTGATGGTTACACACTAAAAGTTTAACAGAAAATAAGTCCCACTGACTTTGTAGTTAACAAGGACACAGATTCAAACTGAATGAAGTGGAGGGTAAAAAATTAAAACGTCATTCCTATCAGCCTCTGCTGCTCAGCGCTCTGCAAAATTCGAAGTTTCTTTATACTTTCACTAAATTTGTATTCTGGTGGAAGTTGATTAAAGTAAAAGCTATAGTCAAATAAAATCACTGAGTTAATTAAAATAAAATTTTATACAATTAGGGTTAACCTGTTAAGTAATCAGTTTAAGATTAATCTTAATTTGCATTAAAACATAAGATAAAAATAAAAATCCGTTATTCACGAAAAAAATCCGAAATTTGCTATTTAATGCTTTGGAAACGTTATCAGGAAAAATAGTGATCATACGATATCTCTTCTTTCCTGCATTTCATTTACAATTTCCTACCTTGCTTTATTAAAACTTCCTTGTGCTTTGAAATTAGGCAATAAAATGGATCAAAGAGAGATCATATGATAACGAAATGTCATACATCAAGCATTAGATCATTTCTTCCAAAACAATGTTATTGTTTTTACGACTTGACACAAACTACTTCGTCAGAATTCATTGTCTGTTTGCCTGAGAGGAAAGTAAATCACTCGAAAATAAAACATATATATATATATTAGATATTTTATTAAACATTGAGGAATAATATAATGCAATTAAAAAAAGACTTGAAAATAGTTCGACTGAATGATCAAGTGATGCTGCGTAGTGTTGTATATCGAAAGCTTCAGCTTCGCATTTCACAGCTAAGAAATTAACCTTAATAGAAAGTGCGAAGCCTTAGGGCATGCGGAGCATCCTATAAATTTAAATCTGATTAAAAAATAATTTTTTGTTCATCATCTTAATAAATCCATACTAACTACTTTTAATTTGTACCTGTACACTGAATCATTGACTTTACAGTCAGGTATTCAAAACGAAACCGAGTTATCCGCTTTTCATTTCTATTTCTATACTACCCCATACACTCGTCGTAACATGCTGAAGGAGCGTCAGCATTCAGTCGACGACGCGCAAAGCCGAGCGTCCCCTTCCCCTCCTTTCCTCCCGTAAGAGAGTTCCTGCGCAGGGATTAGAGAGATACCGCGCTCTCCTAGGTTGTGGTAAACAGAATATCTACTGTTTACCATTGAATTTAGAGCATTTTATTGCTGTTTTTCAGTGCGCTAGTTGCGAGGTTTGGGTTGTACTACACAAGGGTCAATTATTACTTCTTTCAAAGTTCCATACGACGATGTAGTATTCTGCAAAATTAATGGGAATATCTTTTCCATAAATTTGAAGCAAAATACATTATTCAAGAAAATTCTGTGGTTAGTAGATACGTTAAAAAAAAAAAAAAAAAAAAGATTTTTCTCTTGGTTTATTTTCAATTGTTTTGTAGAGATGGAGTTATTGTTTGGATTAAAGATGAAATAACCAAATTCACCACTACAATGACGAAATAATTCAACAGATGACAAGTACTGCGGGAGAACTTTTTTTCTAAGGAATTCATCCCCTTTCAGGAATACTTTCTATGCCACTGACTGGACAGTATCAGCGTCGGAAAATTTCGTTACGGTCTGCTGCATTAAGTGTGCTTTCAACTTCAGAAGTTATGGCGGGAAAAGGGAGTTCAATTTAGTTATGCATATACCTTGAAGGAATTTTATCTTTAGTGTAAACATGATAATGCGATTTTAGTCCAGGAGACTGTATTGAGAAAATTTTGGCACAGTTGTAGAATAAATACTATAATAGCAGCCTACTTATAGCAGCTTATGTATATTGCGATGTAAAGTGCAAAGCGAGGAATCTTTTTTTGAATAAAAACGAATTTTAGTGTTTTCCATGAAGTATGTTTGTTAACTGTTTTGTGAAAGTAAAGTGCTCTATTAACTGTTTTGTAAAAAGATAAGTATTCCGATATTATGCAGGATAAATTTATGATATTACGCAGGATAAAGTACAAGTTTGCAACTGATAATGATTTGAAGTAAAGTAAAAGCTAGTCAACTTAACTGGTCAAAAGTTAGGCTTTCCAAGCCAATAAGATGCAATAAAAATTAAGCTTAGAATATTTATAAGGTATTTCTCCCGCCTTCTTTGCCTTCCTTTGGGATGTAGCGATCAGCATTCTCGTCGCGTATTCGAGGGGTCCGAGGTTCGTTTCCCGGCGAGGGCATTGCTCATTTTTCACGTCTCTCAGTATCAGAATAACCTAATGTCTCTACAGTGGCGCTCGAACTATAAAAGGCGGTGGATGATGATTCTTCCCCACCAGGATTTGGCGACTGGGACCCCTAATCCCCCCCTTAAAAGGGGGAGGATATAAGGTATTTCTCCCGTCTTCTAAGCATGTCTTCGTTATGTAATGGTCCGCACACTTGACACGTATTCGAGAGGTCTGTGGTTCAAGTCCCGGCCAGGGTATTGCTCACTTTTTCATCTCTCCTGTTTCGAAATAACCCAATGTCTCTGTGTATTGAGTACATTCTTGAAATAGGGTACCATTAAAGTCTATCATGTTTTAAGTTATTTACACATAGATTTTCGGTTAGCAGATAGTCTGTTGAAAATTCTTCACACTTTCATACACACTTGCATGTGCTATGCTCAAAAGCATGGATTAGAAATGGAGTTTATAGAAAATAAAACATTAGAAAGGTGATAAAGTTTTAAATGACAGGTTAAAAAATATAAAACGTGAAATATTTGCTTGATATACTATTTTTCCTGCCCCCTCCAGCGGTCGAGCAGTAAAAACCGCTGAAGACTGGTAGTTCGGTCTGGGGTTCGATTCCCGGCAAACGGGCTGGCTACATGGGCATTTTCGTGGTTTTCCCCATGTAAAACGTGGATACGACCCAATATTTAACTCCATGATTTCAAAGGTTGGCTGATGTTGTATGTTTAGAATTTAAAAATCTTTGCAATGTTGTTAAAGACCTTCGTTGCGATTACTTCAATTCTGGTGGGGGAAAATGTAGGGAATCTTATGTTAATTAACCAGTTACGTATAATTTCTGTCTTTACTACAGCTTCTCATTTCCGTATTCCTCACCAGAATGCAAATGAGTAACGAGTATTTATACTGAAGATTTTGGTTCTGGGAAAGAGCGTGTTTCTTGCATCTCTGATAGTTGTAATTATTCGGCTTTGAATTCTGTCGCTGCCGACATTTTAATTCTACTGCTCTGTTAGAATTAGCGAGCTAGCTTCTAGTAATACGTACATGCGTAGACCTTGACTACTGGATCAACGTTTGATTTAATTTAGACTGTTCTAATTTTGCATCACCCCGAGTTGTGAAAATTGTAGCACAAGAGAATGCCTTAATGTCCAAAATTCTGTTTAAATAAAATGAATATTTTAACTTCTTCAAGAACTTCATCATTGTTCTCAGACACAACGATAATTCGCTTCACGTCTGTTAGAGTTACTAAACTAAAGTATTACCAAATCAAGTGTAGCACTATAGATTCATGCAACGCAAATCTATCTGGGAGGGGGCATAATTCATTCTGCTTCGCATCGGAACGCATGCGATTCATAGTTTACGTATATGGAACGTTATGCAGTTCAAAATTTTGGATATACAGTGATCAGGAACTGTCAATATTTTTTAGCTTTTGTCTACTAAAAGTAATTTTTATTGGTTGCGTAGATGATTTGGCTAAGCATGCGAAAACTACATTTTTGGGGAAATATGAAAGTCTTTCATGGACGTGTCTTTAAAATGAGATGGCTCATATACAAGGGCGGATGGGACTATTGGGAATCCGGGAAATTTCCAAACGCACCGGTGGCCATGAAGTCTTTCTTGTCACCCGACATCGATGGTGTAAAAACGGATACTATGATAACAATTATTGAGGTTTCATGTAACAAAAAGCAATAAAATCATTAGGAGAAAAAAGATTTAATGACATTAAAAACAAAAATAAAATACATTCCGTAAAGTAAGCTGATGGTAAACGAATTAAACCCTTTGTCTTAACCCCGTCGCCATTAGTTTGTCGCAAATTCACAAATGATTTATCTAATTCTATACTCTAGCATAAAAAGTGGAGAATTTGAAAAGTGGACAACAGTCATTGTGACGATAAAAAGTGGACAACAGTCATTGTGGCGATTTCATAACGATACAGAAGACACCTTTATTTAAGTTGGTCAAGCTATAAGTTACTTCTCCCGCCTTCCTAGCGTGCCTTCGTGGTGTAGTGGTTCTGCACGCTGAGCCTTTATTCCAGAGGTCCGTGGTTCGATTCCCTGCGAAGGCGGTTGCTAATTTTTCATCTCTCCGGCTTTTCCAATTAACCTAATATCTCTACAAGTGGCGCCCGAATTAAAAGGGTGGTGGATGATTTCTCCCCACCCAGGATTTGGCGATTGGGTCCCCTAAAATCCCCAGTCGTCCTTTAAAAGGGGAGTATATAAGGTATTTCTCCCGCCTTCGTGGTGTAGTGGGCAGCACACAGAGACGGCATTTCAGAGGTCCGTGGTTCGATTCCTGGCGATGGCGATTGCTAATTTTTCATCTCTCCGGCTTCCAAAAATCCTAATGTCTCTACAAAGTGTCAATTTCAAGCGTCTGACATTGATATGGGAGTCCACCGATCTTGAAGAAGTAACTTCATAACTGTGCTGGGCAACCCTGTTTTGGCGGCTAACTTAAAAAAATGCTCGCATTTTTATGCAGGTTGGCAGCGCCGATCAGATTAGCCAACTGCCTCTGCTCTTACGTACAATATATGAGTGTCGTGGGTGAACAAAGGGACATATAAAAGCTCTATATGGCCATCTTATTTCACTTGAAATCGAAGTTAAAGCTCAACTACATGAATGTAAACGTTCTTATTCATTTAGAAACAGGTAGACCATGGAAAAGAATTTCTTGGCAAGATACCATAGTACTGCGTAATTCCTTGGCAGGATACCATAGTACTGCGTAATTCCTTGGCAGGATACCATAAATTCAATATTTTAAAAACGCACAATTTATATTTTTCAAATTATGTTGCGATTTAAAGAATGCATAATTTGCAGTTATTCAAAATTACATCCACTTACCTCTGACTTGTAGATTAAACTTTCCAGCAATAGCTTCCAGCTGGTCCCTATTTTTGGCAAGTTTCGGTAGCTTGATGTGCACAGATGCACGGATAGTTGTTCCCAGATTGGTTGGGCAGAAAGTCAAAAAGCCCAGCCTGTCGTCATGAGAAAATGGAAGTCGTGATTCTATAATATTTACAGCCTGTTTGAGGGAAAAAAAAATCGCTATTATAAATTTGTCAATTTTTAAATACATTTCTGTACAAGCAGAAATAAAATTTATTTTAGTATATTCAAATAAAAAGATCCTCCAGTTTGACACACTGGAGAGACGAATCGAGTTTGTTTTCATTCCCGTCATTTAAGGAAAACTGCCTGCATCTATCCTTTTTAAATACGGTGTATGAGTTACAGGACAGACATTGATCTTGAAAATTAGAGATTTCTATATATAGTATTTGGTTTTAATCTCAAAAGAAAGCAATATTTAAAAGGAATTCTTGTTTGGATGCGGCGATTGCCTAAAAAAACAATTTTCTTTATTACTGAACAAATATTAAGTCCTGTTAGTAATTCAAAAAATAACTTACATCGACTAATCTCTTATATATCTGCTTGAGATCGCCTCCTTTCTGCATCGAAATGATCCTCAGGTGGTCTTCTTCATTCGCCCAGACTAAGAATGTTTTGTTATCATTATGGTATATACCTCTGCCTGTTGGCCAGAAACGGCAAGCATTAGCAGCCTGTAAGAAACTAAAATGAAAACAATATGAATCTTAAAGTACATATTTGGGATGAAAATAAAAAGTACATTTTAATTAGCATTTTACATTCTTAAAATCTGTTATTTACTTTCGCAATAATTATTTATATAGTCTAATATGCATAATGTCTAAGTCCATATTATCGTTTACTAATAAGAAATGGATTAACTTTTATTATTTTATACGCGAAGCATACAATAGGTTAGGTTCTATGTGCCAGTTTTGAAAGAAAACTTATTACGGAATAACGTCCAAGGTTCTTGCTCCCTCTTTTCCCTTCAACTAACGATATCGTCTTACTTCCCGTCAATTTTCCCTCCTTCAGCTGGTGTCAAAGAAGGAGGGCTCTCCCTTCAGTGTGATACAATATAAGTTACTTCGGGGGCTGATTAACCATCTAATTATTCCTGTTTCAGTTTTCAAATTTCAAATACTTCCGCTACTTTGTGCTTAATTTTTTAATGCCTTACAAATTCTCACTGAAGATTTCAAAAGTAGCACGCTTGTTAACTTTTGCCTGAACCGGAAAAAATAAATTAAAGGCATTTCAAATAAAGCTATTAAATTTTTATTGCCTTTTTGTCCAACCTATTTGTGTGAACAAAGAGTTCTTTCTATGTTATATTTGAAAAGTAAATATAAAACAAAATTAAAAGTAGATCCTAATTTAAGGTTAAAACTAAGTGAAATAAGACCAGACATAATGAACTGACCTCCCTTAAACAAGCCCGAATTTCACACTAAATTTTAGAATTAAGGTACTCTAAGTTAAATTTTGATAATTAAAATAACCAATTTTTAATCTAATATTTTTGTGTGTGCATATTTAATACAAATAGCCAATAGGTTGTGCAAATGGAAATATATATCTTTTTTTATTATTTCTGTAAAATAATCACTGCAAACTAGTAGTACGAAAATATTTCAGTTTTGTTAGATAGTACGCGTAACTAGAAATGTTGAGAGCCGCTGATCTAGATGATTTCAGAAATGCTTCCTCAATATCTCTGTACTCCCTTTTTCTTTCGTATCTATTTTTTTTCTCCACAAGCAGAAATTAAGTTTTGATTTTTCCATACGGTACTAGATGTAGATTTGGATAAATTATATATTTCTGGCAGATATCGATTTGACTGCATCTATTTTGTATTTTTCGAATAATAAAACACGTATAATATGTCGCCTTATCTTGAATACAATAGCTTTATGTTTACAGCTTGTCATGTGGAATAATTTGTGATGAATGAAACAAAGTCCAGAGAGTTTGATCAAAATATATGTGAAAGTTTACTCTTCTGGAAAATAAGGAAAAGAAAAATAATTTCGTTACCTACGTGTTTTTTTCAATGTCCATAGACATATTTCCAAGATATGTATGGTTGCAACCCATGGATTTAATAATCTTTATAATGAATACCTGATGTCTTGCAAAAGACCTAAAGAATGCAAAACACCTATTCGAAGGATAGAATTTGAAGAGTTTATACTCAAACAAAACACACCTCTAAGGAACGAAACTTTTCATTCCCTAAAAGAACACTCAACTGAACTGCAAGCACGTTAAGATTCACTACTTCCTCTTTACCTGAACAGGGAAAATTTCCTGCCTTCAATAGAGCTCTGTCTGGCAAACTCAAATAAAGAATTTGAATGAAGTCAGAGAACTTATTCAAGTCTTTTCATTCAATGATCCTGCACACAATTATGGTGTCCTACGATATGCTTACTGTATCCTAGTTCTCCAAATGTTAGATGTCACGCCTGTCTCACATAGCCTTAGTATAAAACATAGAGAAAAACAGGGATTAAGATGAAAGATAAACAGCAAAACGGTATTTTCGTTTATATATGCAAATGTGAATCCAAATGTCCTAACCGGGGATGATTTTAATGGTTAGTAATTTTTTTGTTAAAACTTGTTGAAATCCTAGGAAAAGTACGAAAAATACAAAAAATTTCAATTGAAGTTATCCATACGGTTTGTTATATGCGATTTTCATATTCTTGGCGGTTTTCTGTTACTATATAATAACATGAAGTACATTAGAAACTGAACGGGACCGAAAGGTTCATTCGTTTTAGCGGAGATTGGCTTAATTTTAACATGTTACCATTTCTGTTATTAATTAAAATCATTATTCCTGTATTGATGTTATTAGTAATCAAAACTGCACAATATGTTCGTACAGAATCCAAATTGTATGTCATAACCTGTATATCTAGTTTCTGTTTCACAGACGAAATTCCTTAGACGAATTTTCTCATTACACGTCTCCCGTTTTATATTCTCTTTTCCCCCGCAGCTTTTTCGTGCCTGCAGTACCTAAACATTTGCTCAAGACTTTCCCCCTCCCTCGTTCCCGTTACTCCCATCTTACTTAATGGGTATATTTTTTTGTTTTTAAGCCATTTTACTTGTACTGTTTTCGTATTTCCATTCAGAGCCTCTATTAATCCATAATATCATCACAATTTAATGTTTATTTTTGATTTTATAACATATATATTCATACAGGATGCTTCAAAAAGGATCGCATTGTCCAATATAATTTGAATTGGTCATTCTAGTTTCAAAAATAAATAAAGTAAGCTTATAGAAAACGGCAAATTTAGTAATATGATCCATTTAGAAAAAAAAAACAAAAAAAAAAAAAAAAAAAAAAAAAAAAAAAAAAAAAAAAAAAAAAAGTAGTAAACGTGGACTAAACCTAAATTTTTTTACATTTTCTTATTGAACTTAGGGAGCCATGCAAGGAGCAACATATGTCTGTGGGATAAATGTTAACCATAACTGATTTAATTAAAAATAAATCATTAAAGAATTTTTTAAAAAATTACAGAAAAAGGGGAGGGACTGTATACAAACGACGAATTACGAGCTGTTAACATGTGTTAAGTTTTCGAAACGAAATTTAAAAAAAAAAAAAAAGCTACCTTTTTCGTGAGAAAACATGAATTGAGAAACACTTGTTTTATATTATAATTTTGTGCTCGTAATCAAATTCTAAATTTTACATTTAACGAGTTTAATTGCTTTTACACCCTCTAAAAGCGATGTGTAGCATTGGGGGAAAACGATTAAGTCATAAACAAAGTCAGCAATTTGTTTCTAGGCCAATTTTCTTGCTACGATTGGATTATTTAGATTATGGAAAAGCAAACAAGGGCTATCTTCTTAAGATACTAAATTTGTAAATACTGTTTTTACCAAAATTAGGTACATGACGAAAATTATCTTTCGAAAGTAAACCTTATTTGATTTATTTCTTAAATCGGAGCATGAGTTACGTTCAGTCACTGCAGAGTTCTATCTACTTTAACGCTTCTGTACACATTCACACATATAGTTATCCAGCCGTGTGACCGAAGCTATAAAACCGGCCATTTGCACGGATGATGTTCCTTACGAGCAAAACCAATTGCGCAAGAAATATTTTCCCTCATCTCAGTGACTACAAAGATCTTGATACCTTAAGGGGAGGAGGGCATCCCTTTTTCAAAAGTTAAAACATTACTATTAAATTCTAATTTTCGAAACATGCACATCATCCCAGAGGGAACATGAAATTTTATAACAAGTGTAACCAGCTATGCGTATCAAGTGACACTGTCGCATATCTTGTCAGAAACAATCAATGAATCATCCTTATGATTTATTGACATGATTATTCTCAAGCAGCGTCCATTCCCATTCTAAGTGTTTCTTGTGTATTAGTTTCCGCCCCCGGAGCTCTTTTCATAACATTTAAGTAAAATTTGTAGGATTTGAAGAAAATTATATCTTTAAGATTTCTTATATTATAATAGTCTTGCTTGATTTTCAGATCTTCTTCGAAACTCTTCGTTAGAATTTCAAAAAAATTTGACCAAATGTATAAACCATAAATGAATTTAAAATGAACAACTACTTACGCCTCTCGCCTAAGAAGTTTAAAAATTATCTTTAAATTAAAAAAAAATAATACATGTTATTTTTAAGGGACTATAGTTTGATTATTTTTGATATAGGTCATTTTAACTGCACATTACCTTTCTATTAAAGAAAATAAAGATTTGTTTATGCAATGCTGTGCGAAGTACATATTGCAATATTATGTGGACGCCAAAGAAGATATTTTGTTTAAAATACTTTAATATTTGAAATATAAAATAAAAGTAGCAAATTCTTTATTAAGGATATCAAAAGAAATAGACAAAATTTCACGCTCATAAATCAGTTATAAAGACACTGAGTTTTAGAGTGTTGCATTCTGGGAATTTTTTGACATTTTAATAGTACCCGACTTCTTAAGGTATTTATCCTTTATACGTAAACACATACATTTTGTTAACACATGCAAACATTTTGTTAATATTTATATTTGTGCAGTCCAGTAGCTTAAAATGTTCTAAAGCAAATTAAGAATCCAAGTCGATGCTCTAAATCAGGGGTCGCCAAACTTTTTTGATCATCGCCCCCTATATAATTTTTCGAAATCTCCATAGACCCCCACAAAGGTAATTTTCAGGTAATTAAAATAAAACTATATATTAGTCTAAATATTTAATAAATCAGAAACAGTAAGTAAAGTAGCTACAGATTTTTTACTTCTTAATGAGATGAGTGTGCCTGGTGTTTCTTGGCAAGGTTCGCTATATTGGGTTCGAAATTAGTCAATTTTAACCGTAAATCCCCTCGAAGCTCCACATTTAATTTATTTCTGTTTTTAGTTAAAATTGAATTAACGTGACTGAAACCGGCTTCAACCATATACGAACTTGGAAACGCCAGCATAAATGGCTGAGCCATTTCGTGAACATTTCGTGAACATGGGTGAACATTTTAGGAGGGGATCCACAGAATATGAATATATTTTATATTATACAGAATATGAAGATAACTATTTTAAATTATAGCTATTATAATATTTTTATTCGCAGCTTCATAGGTTTAGAAAAATTAATGCTTTTTAAAATAAAAAAATATTAAAAAATACCTTTTTTATTAAC